ATAATTATAATAATAATAATAATAATAATAATAATAATAATAATAATAATAATAATAATAATAATAATAATAATAATTTGGGTCTAAAACAGAAACATTCGTTGTCATTCCTAAAAATTAATAAATCAACATCATCATCAAATCAATATAATAATTCAAACAATTCATTTTCAAATTATAAATCTTTCTCTAATTCCACAACACATCCTCAAATAACAGTTACCACTACCACAAATTCACATGTTACTTACACCAATACTTCATCAAATTCTTATTATACTCATCATCGAAATCATAATTCTTCTTCTTCATTTAATCCATCAATGTTATCAAATAATAATAATAATAGTAATAATAATAAAAATTCATCTAGCATTCGAACAACTTCAGCGATGATGATTTATTATGACACTAAAACAAATTCTCAAATTCCACAAGAAATGATTCAAAGTTTGGAAAAAATATGTGGAGAATCAATATTTAACACTTTAATAAAGACTCAAATTTGTTATGTACATGAAGATCTGGGTAGTGTTTGGAATTTAGATAATTTTGAAAATGGTAATGGAAAAAAGAAACGAACAAGAAGTCAAAAACGTCATAATAATAAAGATAACAATAAAGGTAATAATAATAATAATAATAAAGATAATAATGTTATTATGGTGAACAATGGGAATGGAAATCATCAAAATAATTGTAACAATAATAATATTATTAATAATTATAATGAAAAAAGTAATAATAAGCATAATAATAGAATAATAGAAAAACGATGTAGTAAAAGTTTAGATATTAGTAGATATAATAATAATAATCGTAGTATTGGAAATTTGGATTTACTTAATAAACATAATAATAATTTGGATTTTATAGCGGGAAGATATAGTATTGACGTGGCGAGTGAAAGAAGATCCAGAACTTTTGATGTTAATCACGTTAATCATAATAAAATTGGAAAGATATTTGGTGGAGCGGGAGGAAATAAATTCGAGGATAATGAAACGGGAAGATATAGTATTGATGTGGTAAGGAATGGAGATGTAAGAGGATATGTGAGCTTTAATTCTCGGGTGGGGAATAGTGATAATGGATCTAATAAAGAAAATAATGGTGGGAAATTGAGAAGGGTTATGAGTCGAATGTTAAAAATTAAAAAGAAGAATGGTGTTAGATAGTGTTAGATAGATAATAATATATATATATCTCAAATATTTTCATAAAATAACCTTGTAATTTTATTATAAAATATATTGGTGACTTTATTTTCTTTGATTTTAATAAAGTGAAATGTTATAATTAACATTATATTTTATTATTATTATATATTTTATTTATTATTATTATATTCATCATATTGTATTTTAATATTTATAATTTTGTTATGTTCAATTTTATTATAATTTTACAGATAAAAAAATAAACAATATATTTAATGACATTTTTTTTTTTACAATAAATAGGACATAATCCTAAATATTTTTCTTTCTTGGTAATTCCTCTGCTTCTCCCTCTCCCTCTTTATAAGAATTATAATCCACACTAGAAAAAGGTGATATTAATAATGTTGTTACTACCTGGGAGAGCAAGCTTTACTAAATTATAGTGGTTTAGCTTGGTAGTGGACTTGTGTTGGTTAAATTATGTGAATGATTATAAATATTAAAGATAAAATATAAATATAAAAAGAATTCAATTAAACAAGAATAATGTCAATTTATCTAAATAATTAACCAACTAATAATCAATAACTAAAAATACTTAATCAAATCAAATAATTAAATCAATAATCAAATAAAAATAAAATAACTATAAACTATCAAAATTCAATAAATTAAAATAAAGAATAAAAGGTGAGTTTGGGTATACAGGATTCCTTTGGTTATTTCAGCAACACTTTAAGACAAAAGTATAAAGTAATTGTCATTTTTATTAAAATAAAAGAAATAGGAATTGTATGAACTTTACAACCTGTCTTGGACAAGGTAATTTCTCTTGTCTTTATATACATTTTTATGTTGGGGTCTACGAACCTCACTTGGGGTTCTAATGCCCACTCTGAGGGTCTAAGGATAAAAGACCTCAACTGGGGTTCAAGATGATCAAGACACCTCTTGGGGTCTTGGAGGTCCTTTTGGTCCTCAACTAGCCTTTTCTATCTTAATTCTGTTATAGTTGATATGAATTCTAATACTATTCTCTAAATAATTAACTATAATAATAGAAATAGAACTAAAAATATATAGATCAATTCTACAATAACTACTAAGCAATAATAAATAATAAATAAATAGTAGGTAAATAATAAATAAATAAATAATAAATAATAAAATACACATGATAAGAAAGAATTATAAAGAAAATAAACAATAAAAAAAAACTTCCAACAGTGTTTAAATAATGATATTGACGATATTGATAGTATTTGTGGCAAATGAGATCCATTTACCAAATACTAAATACTGATATTAAATACATTATTGCCATTTAATATTCTGGATACAATAAACATGATAATATAAGAAGAGGTTGTTCCCAACTTTCTCAAGTCGTGTAATTATTTTTGCAACCAAATTCGTATCTTGACTAAAATTGTGCAGGATATTTAAACTATGTATTACTTGAAATAAACGTGCTTTATCATGTAAAATTATTGGGTATTTTATTATATGGTTCTAATATTTTTAGAAGATTTTTTCAAAATTAATTATTTCAAATATTGATCATGAAATTTTTAAATTATCTCTTTCTCTACATCAGGATTCAACAATTGGTGGTTCAAATTTAATAACCGGTATCTAAAATAATAATTATTTGTAAATTTAAACCATTAAATAAATTTTAATTAATATTTTAAATAGCAAATCGGGTGGCGCAATAAACATGAAAAAATAACCGAAAAATAGGCACAGTAATTCAGCACAATTACATACATCTTGGTTTTATTAATTACAAATCTAAGAAAAATTTTTCTTTGTAAATAACTCTTATACTGGTCGAATTATGAGTAGTGATTTTTAATATAATTTGCTAGAATTAATAACTTTTAAGATTTAGAATCTTTTTATGATCAAAATTTCCGAAAAACTTTATGTAAATTAGCTAAATAAGAATAAAGGTTTTTATTTTTTAATACACAATTTAAAATTCACAAAAATAAATGAAATTGTAAATGCGAATTTTGTTCTTCAAAGTCAACATTATATTAATGTAGATAAAAGATAATGCTTACAGAATTCATACCTATCTATTAAATATATTTCTCTACCCTATTTTTCTTATAAATGAAAGAGTCACCAACCTCCACTCTGTCCTTCAACAAGCCTACAATTATTTCCATACCTTTTTTCAATCCTTTGCGAAGTTCAGTATCATTATTCAAAGCATGTTTATCAATTTTTATCGGATATAACTATTTGAGAAATATTTTGGTGCATGCGTTAAGAAATACCACCTGTCGGATATAATTAACAAGATTAAAAAAAAATAAAAAATGTTTATGTGAATTATAATTCCTTGACAAAACCCACCAGTAGTCGTAATTCCATAAATATAACCATAATAATCTACAAAATCTCCGATTTTTTTCTTTTGGAATGCACTTTCAAGTTGTATAATATTTTGAATAATTCCACTAACTTCGTTGATTCTTTTGGTCATAGTTATGCGCATCAACTCTTCTAAATTACCTTTTATTTTACTCGTTTTTGCATAATCAACTATTTCCAACCCTGGACATAATTGAATTATTTTCCCAGTAATTTGTTTGATAATCAGTACAGACGCTTGTAATATTGCATTGACATATATAGAATGTACAGCTTCTTTTTGATCCATTAAAGGGCCCATGACATCTATCCCAATTTTAATATCATCTAAACAATGTTGGAAATATATATTATTGTCCTCAATCTTCTCCATTTCTAAGAAAAAAATAGTTAGCCTTTTTAAATTCCTAGACTTAAGATTTTATATTGTCAAACTTACCCAATTTGAAATCTGGAAGGTCAAGATCTTCTTTGGTTAATTTGAGGAGGTCTGTACCCCAAAATCTTTTGTTCTTTAATAATATCGATGGATTTATCCCCAAGGTTCATTTCATTTTTTACAGATTGTAAATAATTGACGACGTCATTTGGATCCCATTTTTTAACCTTTGCAACTGACGGAAGAACTTTTTGGTTTGTTGTTACTTGAGAAAATGACCTAAATATGAACTTGCATGGATTGTAAGTTAACGTCTTCAAAAATGCCACAGTTACACATATTGATATTATTACGTCTGGCGAAAGAAATTGGTTCTGATTTACAAACAATAACTAGGAGTATTTTTTGTTTCTATGCAGATATATTTATTATTGATTACATGAATTACAGTGTTATACAATATAGGGTTAAGGAATCTGAATTCAGAAATAAGATCTAATCAAGTTTGTTAATAATAAATCTAAATTTGATATTTCAATACTATTCCAGGTCAGAGATCTATTTAGAGCAACGTTTGCTTGACTGATGAAAAATGTTTTTATCTAAAGCAAAGACATACTTATGATAAAGTGAAACCTTGAGTTTATGAACAGTTATAGAAAAACAACATTTTTTTATTAAAAAATAAAAAAATAAAAAAATAAAAAAAATAAATTTATTTATAATGCAGCTTTAGTGGATATTGCAGCTCTTGTGTGGAGTTCATTTGTGAAAGAGTAATTCTTCCTCGATTGTTATTTCTTGGTGTATGGTGCAGAAAGTCTAATGACATCACACTTTTTAAATTGTTATAACTTTGTATCTAAATATAGAAATTTTTTAAAAAAAATACGTTATTTAATAGCCTCTTTAATTTAACGTATTTTATTTTGATATTTTTATTAATAAATTATTGATTTATTAATTAAAGTTTGAAAATAAAAAAAATAAAAATTTCAGCGTTAAAAAATCTTCTCCGATTGGTCATATTTTCACGTGAGAACGTGATTTTTTGTTTAGAGCAATATTATTGGTTGTCTTCTACATGAAACACGTGAATTGACATATTATCGTTAGATTAGGACAATTCATAGTCACTATTCTAAAATATGCTTTTTCCGGTTCTGTAATTTTACCATTAATTTTGAAAAAGAAAATAAAGAGTCTTGCATCCTTACTATATACATTATTTTAAGAAAGTAAGATATGCACTATTGTTGTTTCAATTTAATTCTAAAGATATTCGAGCGAGCAAAATTCAACTTAGTTTTAGTTTTAGTTTGTTATCCATATGCTTGAAAAATTTATGAAAAAGTATTTAATCCAATATTTGAATAAAATAACATTAATGATGAAAAAATAAGTTTCATATTACAAAATTATATTTCAAGGAAACTTCACGTTTCTTAATCATATTGTTCACTGGTCCTTTGTATAATATTATTAGGCTAGCTTTTTTTTGATTATTGCTATAAATTAACGTTCGTTCATTGAAAATTCTCATAAAAAGAAATTCCCAAAATTTAATGTTTCATAAAGATTTATAATCAAAGGATCATAATCTCTTGTAGTTATGCGATGTTTAATAGCACATACATAAAATAAATCAACTAGTAACATTTGTACTTTTTTTTTGAAAAATAGCTATAGTCATTTCCTAGGGATTATCACTGTGTATAAAATACAAAATACGAATTTATTTCAATCTTTGTCTCACCACACCCTGTACTAATATAGGCACAATGATAAAATATAAAAAGTAATAAATAAATATAACAGAAATGACATTTAATGTATACGTTGTTTTGATTTCTTAACTATTGTTTTATATATATATATATATATATATATTTCATGCACCAAACTCCTTGGTCAGTTTGTTACTAAAGATATCACAACGTTTTATAATTATTAGGTGCATGTATGAGTTTTGGCTTTAAAGAAAAGTATGAACATTCTTATATTTTGATTTTTCTATAAATTCAAGCAAAAAATACTCACTCTGAAATAATCCAAATTTTGTTTCTATATTTTATATTTAAACTTATTGAGCTGGAACTCAACCTTTTTTTAATTTATTTCCATTTTAATTTTATCAAAATTTTATTGAGCAGGAACTCATATAAATAAAATTTAATTCTCATAATTTCTATAAACCTCAGACTTTTCTTGCTTTCCTTGAAAGTATTCATAAATACATAACCTTGTGGCAAACATGACAAACATGATCAACAACTCTAACCGTCATTCTAACCTTTTCCTGCAAAATAATAATTATAATAATAACGATAATAATATTTTTCTCAATGATGGTACTCGGAATAATTTGAATCACATTGTATATAATGCTAATATCAAAAATTATTTGGAAGAAGAACAGCAACAGCAATACCAAAAGAAATACTATCTTAAATATCATCCATATTTAGTAATCCCAAATTTAAGAAGATATCCAAAGCTGGTGAATCGGCATTCAAAACCTTATCCAGCAGATGTAATTACCAAATTTTACTAAAAAAAAAAAAAAATAGAATAAAATGTTAGTTAGAATCGTTAAAATAGAGTAATTGTATTTATTTAATATATTTTTTTTATTATATAAATGACATAAGTAAAATTCCATTTAGTTTTGTTATTAAATTATTTTTAAAATTTTTTGATCCTATATTTTATATTAATGATGAAAAGTTACAAATAAAATACTTTACAAATTTGTATTTTAAAAGAATCTATTAAATTCAAGGTGATGTCAAGTTTTCATTAATAAAATTTGATTTGTATTTATTATTTATCTTTCACCTGGTTCCTGGAATATTATAGCCAAATTCGGCTATTATTTTATTTAGTTGGTGTAGTTGGTATAATTGATGTTGATATTATTGTTGTAATCGGAGTGGTTAAAATGGTTAAAGCGAGTAAATATGGTTCTGTTCCAAATATTGTTAAAATCACTAAATACATACTACGCGTAAGAAGGTATAAATGGAATTAGAAAAGATGATTCAACTGAAACGTATTCAACATTTGTTTTTATAGTTAGTTATCTATATTTTAATATGAATTCTTTCCGAAAATCGATAATAAATTATTATGAATTTCATTAATAATACATAATACATTATCAAGAGTTGCTTAACTATTTTTATTATTTTTTTTTCCTCCTTGAAACTCTAATAGACACATAATATATGGTTGAAACTTTTTCCCCTCGGTTTGTAACTTTGCATATATAAGTAGAAAAATTTGTTTGAGAAATTCAAAGAAGTGAAAATATGCACTTGTTGAAATTTCCTTTTGAATTGTGCATGCCCACAATTTAACTTCTAAGGTGAAATTATCTCTTTTTTATTTAAATGCGATTTACGTGAATGATCATTATTAATTATCTCTGATCGCATTTTTTTTGATTAAATGTTATTTGTTCACATCAAGCAACTATTCCCTAATCAAAAATTCGAACAAGGGATTTATTGTTACATCCCAGTAAACATTATTAATAAATGTTCAAAGAAATGTCAATACATAATGATACATTTAATTATTATTAAAATTTTTACTTATTTTAAGAATGAACTAGAAAAGAGAACAAATATAAAAGTTGACTGCTAACTTGGACTAAAAAAGTCGACTTTTACCTTATTTGATGGGTAAAGTACTTACAGTTTATGAGAAGTTTGTGTATATATATAATGTCAATTACTTGATGCTTGGTATTTGTATAATATAACGTATATTGGATGTGTTCATACTATTAACAGGGATTCACCTTCGAAGGAATCTGGATAACTAAAAATAGAGCAGGGAAAACCTAAGTGTAGAGATCACACAACACTATATGTAATGTACACTTTATATCTATATTTTTATAAAATAATTGATTTTGATGTATTAAAAATATACTGAGATTTATTATCCATTAAAACACCTTTAAAATAATTTTAATAATAAATTACAAAAAACTCATACTAAAGTTGAAAGATGTTTTATATTAATAATATAAAATGGGAAGGTTTTATCAATTTGAGTTTTATTCAAAAGAGGCAAAAGGCGAGGTTTTATTCACACAGAATACTAATACTTTGATAAGACTTTATTTCAAGGAAAGTCTACATGTTAAATTATATTCTTATTTATGAACTAATGTTTTAACGTATACTCTTATATGTGTTTTTAAGATGATCTCTTTACGTTTACGAGATCTAATATTTAAGGTCGTAACTACATTAAAATAAACTACCCCACAATTTACAAATTGATTACAAATTGAGAGGATGAATAACTGTTTTTGACTTTTTTAGCTAATTTTAATAGGTATAAAATTTTACATTAGATGCAATTGATTATTATCTATAACGGATAAGTTTATTTTAATTATATAATTATTATTATGGCCTGAATTAAGAATTATGATCAGAGTTAAAGATTACAACATTGTTACAATTAATTACATTAATTCTGATAGGTATTTTAAATATTGAAACTGAAGTTTTTTATATAGTAGTATCCTTATGAATATTAATAACTATTATTAATTATTTTATTTTATTTTTTGTAGCTTCTTCTGTACTAGTCAAATTTATTAAGCTAGATCTTATAATACAATCTTAGCTGTTGATTTGACTATTATTATGTTATTTCTACTTGTACTTATATAAAGTCAAAATAATTTTGGAAAAAAATCCCAAAGTAGTTTTTCATTTTTAATAGAACTCAAAATTTTTTTTTTAGATTCATTGAATAAAAATACATTAAATAGTTATTTTCCTTTATATATAGAAAAATACATTAGATATTTATTTTCCTTTATATATAGAAAAATATAAATCACAAAAAAAAAAAAAAAAATCCAAAAAAAACCAATTTGAGAAAATAGGTGAAGATAATGGTATCAAATTAAATATCTCCTGTTTAATGCTGCTGAACCTTCAAAATGTTTTCAAAATAATTTAAAAGTTGAAAAGCAAGCAATATTCTTCTGCTGACACCTTAGAACGAAGTTTGTGAATATATAACTTAAACATTTATCTTCTCAAAAATAATTAATAATCATATATTATTAAATAATAGTTTTGGAATTGTTTGTGGTTTTGCAAATTGTATAGTCATCATTGTAGATATTGTAGATGGTATAATATGGAAAAAGAAATAAGAGAAATGTATTTAACCCTTGTGAGTTGAAGTGGTGAAATGGATCCTTATGCACAATTTACAGTATATTCCAGATTTTAAACTGCAGAAACTTCAGAGAATTACTGGAATTAAATAGTTTGAAAATTCTTATATTTAAATGAACATTTACTTCATAAAATTACAATTAAATTCACTGATCCAATGAACAAAATCAGAATTCCTATTCATGGCACAAATTCGATACGTATCCTATTTATGAAAAAGATAAAAATCAGAATAAATCATTATAAATTTTATAAATAAAAACTTTCCTAACAAAGTTTTCCCACTCATTATTTAATTTCTTACCTTCATTAATTCAACATCCTGTTTAGATCAGTGTATCCGTTACCTAATCCACGTCTTTCATGAAAAATTGCTTTTTAGTTATTAGGGATAAATTATTATTAGTGGCAAAAAAAAAATTATTATTATGATAAAAATGAAGCACACAATCTTGTGCTTTTTTTTTGATGTTTTATTATTATTGTGGCAGATAAATTATTTGTTACTAACTCTCGAATCTATTAATTATATAAAATATGAAATATGACTATTCCAAAAAAATTTCAAATATTTATAAGAAATTAATTCGTGACATAATGCCCTGAACTTAATTATTGAGTTAAATTATATGAATAAATTTTAAAAATTTCAAGGTCAAATTCCAATTTAAAAAAAATTCTAAATATAAATACAAAAATAACAAGTAGGAAAATGACCAACTAAAAATAAATAAATATTGCTTGTTTTTGTCTACTCATTTTTTTCTTCGAACTTTTATGATATCTGGTTATTATCAAATAGTTTGGCTGACAATCTTTGACCTAAAATTACACTAGCATTTTTCTGCATAAGAGTAATTGATCTTCTCTTAAAGTTATTAAAATCTGATGAACTACTACTACGTGATGAATTGCTACCTGATGAATACCGATTTCCTTTTGGTGTGTCATAAGGCACGTGTGGTCTCATTGATACATAGTCAATCGTCTAGAGAAAAGAAATGGAAAGGAAAAGAAAGATTATTAGCTTTAATTTCAAAAAGAAAAAAAAAATAATAATAAATATATTGTACATTATATTACTTACAAATCCTCCATTCGATGCATGATCCCACTGAGCATTCTTATTAAATGTTGAAAATTCAAATGTAATTTTAGTGGCCTTGCGTAATTTCATTTCTTTCAAATTTCTTATAGTTTTGCACGGTTCTACTAATATAGCGTAAGGTAATATGAAATAGAACCATCCTTTCCCAATAACATGAGTGAAATCTTGTTTTGTTGCTGTGTAACGGTATTGGTCTTTTGCAGGATTTTGGTTGTTTATATCCTGATAAAGGATAAAAAATATTAATATAGAGTGAAAAGCAGAAAATATAATGAAAAGGAAAAAATAAAAAGGAATTCATACAATAGTTTCTACAGTTGCGTCAAATGCATATTCAGGTTCACCAATAAGTTTATCAACTTTAATTCGCCACATTACATCATACCAACCTCGAGGTGGATACATAAACTTCACTGAACACTATTGTTTATTATTAAAAGAAAAAAAAATTATATAAATATAAAATATTTAAAAAAAATAAAAAAAATAAAAAATAAAAAAAGAAAAATAAAAAAATTATAAATAAGAATAATAACTACCTGAAATAATTTTGATTTTTGTTTAATGACTTTTCCAAAATTGCTATTATTATTAATCGAAATGACAAAAATAAGGGTTAAAAAGGGGGGTAAAAGGTTAAAAAGCTTAAAAAAATATTAAAAATAATAAATACTTATAAATACCTTTCTTTTGTGTGTCCCAATTTAAATTCTTCTTTTTCCCACAAAGTTTTCATTGAATCTGATTCATCTTTTCGTTCAGCTAGATAGAGTTTATAGGTAGCTATTCGAAAAAAAAAATGAAAATGTGAGAAAAAAAAAAAGATTGCTTATAAATTAACCATATGCAAAATAAATACCTAAAGTCATATAAGCACGTTTTAAAGCCAAAGTATCTTCTTCAGTAGATTTAATATTTCCATTCCAAACGGGATGTATATTATATTTTTTTAATACTGTATCATAATCGTGCCAACCTTTCCAATCTCGTTGTAACATTGAATGCCAGAAGTAAGGATCTAGAGTATGAGTCATGCATCTTCTGCTAACCTAAAGATATTTGAAGAAAGAAAAAAGTTTTTAGAAAAACAAAAATATAATAAATAATTGAAAAAAAAAAAAAAGATTTAGGAAAAGCAAAAAATATAATATAATAAATAATCGAAAAAAAAATAAATATTAATAATAATAAATAAGATGAAAAGATAATATTTTACCTTTGAAAATGAAACGATATCTGTAAAATCCAATTCTCGAAGTATCCTTAAAATAATATCATGAGGAAATCTGGAAAATAATTCGGTAGCTTCTTGTGAAGTTTCACAAACTTCTTGCCATCGTACATAGTCAACTCTTGGAGTAATATTATAAGGACCTGTGTATTCTTGATGAGATTTATAACTTGTAAATAATGAAGGGGAAGAAGATGGGATATGTTTTTTATGAAGAATTAAAGAAATTCCTTTATACGAAGGCATTGCTTATTATTATTGTTTATTATTATTATTATTATTATTATTATTATTATTATTAGAAAAGATTTTTATTAAAAAAAAATTATAGCAGAGAGAAAAAAAAATAACCCGGGAATAAAAATATTTTACAATATTAAATAATGATGTAATAATATCTAAAATAAATTAGAGCTCAAAAGGATTATCTGGGTTTTTCCTGGAGAACGTTAGCAGATAAGCTATTTATATAACCAGAGAATCGTATTTGTTTATTTTTTTTATTATTTGCAACAATAATAATAACCCTGTGAAAATACTATCCCTTACTATGCTTGAACAATATTAAATGATATCCAATCAACTTTAATGAAAATAAATGAACAATAATTCTAAATTTATATTTTTATTTTAAGAAATTATTTAGCATTGTTTTTTACATTATAAAAATAAATTAGGCGAAGTTTTGTTGGTATCACGAAAAATGTAAACCTTAGATAAATGATAATAATAATGACTCATGTAATATTGTTTTTGTTAATAAAAAGGTAGTAATATGAACATTTCATCCCAACAATGTACATGTACGCTAAGGACCGCAACACCATGAATTTACGTTTTTCTTCGCTATTTTCTGCTATTTCATTTATTTTACTGATAATTAAACATTTTTTCTCTAAATCGGTCTCACAATGCATTAAAACAATGTATTAAATTTAAACTAATTTGTGAATCAAAGCATTTAACTAAACTAAACTAACCCAATAATTTGTAGACGTAAAGGTTAAATTTTATATTTACTTTATGTTACATTTAATTTTTAAAAATAAATTAATTAATTTTATTAGCTGACAATTTTTAGCCTTTTCCTTTTAATCTTTAGTTAGCCCATTTTTTAATTTTATTAGCTGACAATTTTTATAATCTTTAGTTAAGCCCATTTTTTAATATTATGCCGATTATTTAATATTCTCCAGGGTTACTAATAATAATACTAAATAACATAATATAATTCTTGTGTAACTGAACAAAGAAAATTTTTATAATTTATAAAAAGAACGAAAATATCCAAGATATGATAATATATCAATAATTATCTTTGGAAAATATCTTTTTTTCAATATAAATATTAACTAAAAAAATACATGTTCCAAACGTGACATCGCATACATCGAATATTTGGTATAATTCAGAATCAAAGACGAGAAATCAGTTTGGTAATTAAAAGAAAGTGTCGAATCAATCACATTTCTTTATTTTAAATTCCAAAGAACGAAACAAATTTTGTAATTATTTAATTCATCACATTATATGAAATTATATAAGATTATATTATGCAAGATCTAATAAATATTATAATTAGAAGACAAAAAACTTTTTTTATACATAAATGCATATTAAAAATATATTAAACATCTTTAAAATTTTTTATTTAATAATTTATTAAATTGTCCATAAAATAAATAATTTTAAAATTTTCCTATCTCAAAGGCAAATCTGGTAAATTATCTAAATTATCCATGTCATCAGATTGATAAAAATCATCAAATCCAGAAAATTCATTATAAACACTACTGCTTGTCTCTCCAAAATATATACCAAAATTACTATCATTTGTCAAAAATGTAAGCCCACTCACTGTTCTATCATCATCTTCTATATATTCTGAATTAAAATAAGAGGAATTACTATATGAAGTGCTTAAAGATTTTGAATCAGTCTCGCAACTTTCACTGCCATTATCTATTAATGAATCATTATAATTGTTTACACCATTATTATGATGGGGGGAAGAGGAAGTTATTATAGAATTACTATTATTAAGTGCTCCATAATTTCTTTGATTGTTGAAAGATTCTTCACCATATCTTTTCTCAATAACTTTAAACCAATAATTTTCAAATATTTGATCTAATAAATAATAATAATAATAATAATAATAATAATAATAATAATAATAATAATAATAATAATATGATAATAATATTAATATTAGAGTAGTAAATATAAACATTCAAAATATATAAATATTAATTATACCTAATCCTAAAGCATGTAAATGACGAGCCCCAACAGAATTCAATATTTGACAAAACATTGCAGTAAAGGAAATAGACGTCATTCCATACACAATTGAATTTAATATATCTTCATTTCTTGATAGTGAATAATTTCTTAAAAGAGGTATTGAGGGATTATCTCTCTCTGATATTGCACACCACCTTTGTTGATATGAAGAAGAAAACCTTTGTTCTGTTGCAGATGATGAATAATTATTGACATCAACTTCACTATTAGGAAGTGATGGTTGACGAAAAGGTTCAGTAAAGATATTATTGCTTCTTCTTACAGAGTCCAAAAAGGAAGAATTTTCATTCAAATAACCTTTGGATTTAGTTCTGTTAGATGTAATTAAATAAACCCCAATGAACGTAAAAAGACATCCAATCAAAAAATTTAAAAATTCATAAAATTTCATTTCTGCAAAATCATTATACAATATTGCACTCCCTATTATTGCAGATATAATGAAAAGAACAAATTGTTTGGGAATAATTTCCTAATAAAAATTGTAAAAAACGTCAAATAGAAATAGAAATAAAATAAAATAAAATAGAATAAATAAATAAATAAATAAAATAAAATAAATAATTATATAAATAATTAATATATCTATATTTCTAATTATTTGACGCACCGTTGAATCAAATCGTTTTAAAGATCTGTTAAGGTATTTTATCTGAAGAACTGCTGTACCAATAAACATTAATAATAAAAAGTAAGTAATGAAATTTCCAAATATCGAAAAAAATTTCATTATTAAGAGGGATGAAATCGCCTTTGCTGATATAACCGAATATCCGCCTTAATATGAATCAAAAAAAAAAAAAAAAGATTAATTTACGCTAAAAACATCAAAAACAAATTGGAATTATTATTAAACCGTTACCAAAAATAGCCGCCAATAATAGATCAATGATAATAAATTTTGATCCAATTTTAGCTGAAAGACAAATTAATAAAAGAGCTAATATTCCTGTTATAATAAGATAATAAATGAATTGTGGTTGTTGTATTGCAGAATATATTTCTTCAAAAGAAAGCTAAAAACAAATCAAATTGTAGTTTAACATTTAATATTCTTATTTTTATATTTTTATATTTTTATATTTTTATAAAGATAAATTTAGTTATCTCATTGATTTTTTTGTGTATACTCGCCTCTAATTGAGTTAATTTTGAATTTATCATCACAAGAACAACACCTACAATAGCGATCAGAATACCTAATAAATCTTGAGATCTAAATGTTTCTTTGAGCATAAATGGTGCTAAAATAACATTAGAAATTAATGCGACCATTCCAAGAATGATTACAACTGAAGTTGGTGAAAATGCAAATGCAATAAAATTGCTTATTTCTCCTAAATAACAAAATAAAATAATAATAAAAATAATAATAAAAAATAATAAAAATAATAATAAAATTTAGAAATCTACACAAATTTACTTTAGCAATTTTTATTAATTGGATTAAACAAACCAATGATCATTAAAAATATCCCGGCCCACCATGCTTTAGAATGGAAATAATTAAATTTGTCATATTGATCAGGATCTAACAATACTTCGTAACCTTCGCTATTAGTGCTAGAGTCATATGTATGCTCTGAATTAACCCTAGAATTATATAAACTAGGACCGGAATTGAATTGGTCAATTTTAGACTTTTGAAATTCATTATTGACAATTCTTTGGATGTTTAATGAGACTGATATCAAAATCTATCAAAGATGAAGAAAATAGAAGCATAAAGTTATTATATCTGTTAAATATGGCATATTTTTTTCTCTAATTTTTTGTATTCTTCTATATATATATCTATCTATATTTTTTAATTTTTTCCAATTTTTTTTTTTTTGTTTTCAAGAAAGATCAAAATGAAACTTTACATTGCCTGTAACAGCAAATATAATGCCAGTGAACGATTTAAATTCGGGTAAATTAAACCACATTATGTTTTATAAGCTGTTGTCAGCAAAACATTTAAAAGAAAAGTTGTGGGAAAAAGAATTTTTATTTAAATTTGTTTTTAGGGGTTTCGAAGTGATCGTTGCGTTTTATAGATATGATTCATTTGGAAATATTCCTATTTTAAGTATTTCAATAAATAAATATGCATTAATATTGTTTTAGAACAAATAAGATTCGTAAATCTTGGTTAATCACTAACTGACATAACTGTATTTTGAGTAACCCGACCTGTAATAAAATTTCTGCAGACATTCTTCTAGTAAAAGTAATCAGCAACTGTAATTGAGACTTTAACATCAAAGTTAAAAGTGGGAAAGGGAAATAATTATGATTATAATTGAGACAAAACTTATTAATTCCTAATTAATAAAACTGAATTCAATAAATTATGTTCTGGTCACATTTTCTGAGACAACCTTTTAGTTTTACATTTCTGGAAACATTCTTTTTAGTTTTACATTTTTGGAAACATTTACTTATGATTAGAATAGAATAAATGATTAGTTTCTAAGTTACAAAAATTTGTATTGAATAATTTCGTATATTTCGACTATTCCGAACATTCGAGATTTTTTTTTTACATATAATCGATTTTTTTTTATACGTAGATCTCAAAAAAAAAAAAATGGAAATTATGTAATTTGTTTTACCTTAAATCCCCTAAATTCCGAATAAATGATGGACAGGTTAAACAATATAACGCCTAATGGAAAATTTTACAGTTATTTTTGTTTCTAGCATATCATTGCATTATTATTTAACTTGTAGATCAATACCATACGTTTTGTGATAAAATTTTACGAAAATGGAAAAATTACCTTCTTTATCATCACAATTGAACTAATCATTCATTCTAAAAACAATTATTAATTTTATCAATGGATAATGGAGAAAAAGTTTGGGAGTGTTAATCTGTTCACAATTTACTTTAAAAATTAAAAAAAAAAAAGAAAATCATAAATCCAAAATCCTTACAATTTTCAAAAAAAAATTTTTTCCTTTAAAGTGACAATCTGTTTTGGTTGCATTTCAGCAAAGAATTTCCAGAAGATTTACTTATCAAACGGACCATTTTGTCTTCCTTCGTCCATTTAATCAAAACAAGGCCAAAAATTACATCACATAAATATTTTAGTGTAACACTTGAAATTCTTTATATAAGAAACTACGAATTTTGTTTCATAAAATAAAAGAATACTATTTTTTAAATTTTGGTTTAATCTGACCTTACTCGTAAAAAGAAATTTACTGGAATGTTAACAAATAACACAAATAATACAAATAATCCATTACCAGAAGATGATTTCGTTTCAAGTAAATAATCTAGAGAATCGAATTTAATTAATTTAATTAATTTAATTAACTAAATTAATCACTTAAATTAAATCTAATTTAGGTATGCTACCCATGGGAATATCGATTATTGAATTCAAATCATTTGAACCATTTCGAAAAATCGGTGAAGGTGGATATGGTATTGTATATTTGGTGGAAGATCAAGACAAAAAATTTGCACTAAAATGCTTCAAGAATAATAAGAATAATGAGAGAAACTTTGAAAAAGAGGTTTGTGAATAATTCTCTATAAATAATTTCTTATTTTCATTATTTTTTAATGTAATGAAATTGTTAAATTTGTTTTTTTGTCATGTTAGCTTTTAATACATCGTCGATTAGCAAATCATCAAAATATCATTGGATTTTATGGAATTGCCAAACGTAAGTTATTTCTTCAAGGTTATTAATATTTCTTCAAGATTATTTGTAGCGAAAAAAATTAATTAATTAATCATTAATCAATTAAAGGTAATGATATCCCTTACCTGGTACTAGAATTTGCAAATAATAGAACATTAAGAGAATATCTGAACGAAAAAAAAAATTCTCTTACTAATACTGAAAAAGTAAATTTGGCAATACAAATTGCTGATGGAATATCTTTTATGCATTCAATAAATATAATTCATAGAGACCTTGTAAGTCAAATATTAAAACACTGTAGAATAAATAAATTCCGAGTACTAATATTTTTTTCATTACTTAGCACGCGAATAATATTTTGGTTCATGATAATCGAATTAAGATTTCGGACTTTGGATTATCAATAGATCTTCTTGACAATAATTCTTGCAATAATTCTTGCAATAATTCTTGCAATAGCGACAAACGTGGAACTGTGTATACTGATCCTCAAATATTTAAGAGTAAATCCTGCAAACCAGATAAAGCTGAAGATATTTATAGTATTGGTCTCCTATTATGGGAGATTTACTCTTGTCGACCACCATACAAAGAAATTAAAAAAACCGAATTTAATGAAGTTATAATGAATAAATATCGTGAAGAAAAAATACCCGGAACTCCCAATGAATATATTGCACTTTATGAACGATGTTGGCAAGATGAACAGTCTAAACGACCTTTGATTGAAGAAGTTTTAAAAGAGTTAAAATCGATGTCATTAGGATCTATATATACAGAGTCAGAATCATCGTCTAGTTCTTTTTCAGATGAAAGTCCATCACAATGTTCAAGCCAATTTGAACTTACAATTGATACAATTGATGTATTAGATATAAATGAGATAAATGGAAAAGATACTATATCAGATACGAAAAAAGAAGTGGTATGTATTTTTTTTTAAAACGATTTTTGAGGAAGTATATTTTCATTATTTTCTCATTATTTTTCTCATTATTTTCTCATATTTCTTAGATTGAAGTACCTTCTCACAGTTATTTGATTCTAATATTCTTAATGGCATTATGCATAGGATTATTGGTTCTGACATTTGATTGTCAAGGTTCTGATGAACAATGAAAAAATCTCAAAGATAAATGTATAATAAAATACAATTGTCAAATCTTAATATTTACCTATTTATTACATTCGAAATAATTTGTCATTTTCATTTTTTTTTTACTATATACAATTATTGTTATTTTAGCTTTATTTTATTATTATTATCAATTATAATTATATTAATTTATTCTAATAGTATAGTTTATTTATGCAATGCGTAATAAAAAAAAAAAAATCAATAAAAAAAATGACTTCATAATTATTAATTACGCAATGTTGATCTGGGAATGTTCTTTTACAGAAATCGGTGATTTTCTATTAATCCTTATTCATTAATAAATTACTACATTCACAATATTTCTCTTATAATTAAAAAAAAATACTACAAGTAACTAAAGTTAATATTAATTTAGAAGTTGAAAATGTCAAATTGATTATTTATTGCAGGGATGAGCATTTTGTTCCATTATTTGAAACGTCAAGAATATGCTTGGATAATAATGAATGAGAGAAATATCCTACTCAACACAACAATGAGCGATTCGTATTCAAAACATCAAATCATCAAATTGGGACACTTTGATCACCTGATTAACAATAAAACAATTAAAAAATAGAAAATAAAAATAAAAAATTTATATAATAAAATTTAATTTACAATACATGATAAATTTTACCTTGGGGGAAATTAATGTCTTTGAATAATAAAATAAATAATTTAACCTCTTTTGTCAAAGTGGAATTTTAGCTTATGAAAGATAAAAATTTTTAATTATAAAAAAATGAATAATCTTGGTATACCTTTGTTAGATCAAAGGCTTTCATTTAATTTTCAGGAAAATATCTTCCACCTACAAAAATTATATCCATTCTTATAAATTTAAAGTTACTATTTCATCATCTAAGATTTTTGTCTCATTAATTATCACTGTATATATACAACTCCTTAATTATTATTCCCTACTCCGTTCTATTCTTATCCATTTAAAGGAAAATTATTTTCAATAACTTTTACTGAATGATAAAGAATAAAAAGAACCTATTGGTACTGCGAAATTAAATACAAGTGTTTCAGAGGTTCCACCAATTAAAAAATACTGTTTTATTATCAAGACCATTCTGGAGAATGAATTAATAGAATAACTCGTTTGAACTTTTATTATTTATTGTGAATCTTCTTCAAGAGTAAAAATGTAATAAAGAATTTTGTGAATTACAAGAAATGAAAATCTATTTTGTATTGCTTCCTTCCGTTCATTATAGACCATATTTCTGTATTTGTTGTTTGGAATTGAATCCAAGAAAATATTCTACTTACAATATATTTGGATTAAACTCCAGGTTTTTCTTAAACTGAAATATAGTTTGACTGACCGGCAAGATATTGTTTGATCGCATACATTATTATGTTTTGTTTATTTAATCGCTAATCGAATATTATAAAGAATTATGCAATCACTCCTCTATAATAGGTAAACTCAAGGAAATTTATCTAGCGCCGTGCCAATAACGATCAATTAGCCACTTTGCTAAAATCATTTTGATCCGATGTGTATCATATGTAAAATTACGAAAAAAATACCTTTTTTTATTATTATTTTTTTTTTTTGATAAAAACATCCTAAAACAGAACGTCTCATTTTGTTTCTTTCAACTCAAAATTTCCACCTAATCTACAAAGTTCGAAGTTTATATATATATATTTAACTCTATATTCAGATTTTACAAGTTTTCAAATTCTTGTGCGTCCTTATTGTCATCGCCTACACACAAGCTCTATTTTAACTTTAACGTTTAGTACTTTAATATGTTGGCAGACTTACAACAACAAAATGTGCCTAGTTCCGGACATGTTGAATTGGGAGAATTTGTTACTAGTGTCGCTATTAAAATGTATAAAATGTGGACTGGAAATGACTCTAATGTATGTCCAGTTCGCAATGAAGAGTTCAAAAAATTTTGTATTGAGGTAATTTCACGAATATAAATTATATATTACTTAAAAACAAACGAAAAACAAATAACATGAGAATAATATAACATTAATATATTTAAATTAAACAAAATCTAGCGACTTTCTAAATATATTTCATTTAAAATTTCAGATTCTGAATTTAACAAATTTATCACCCGTGACCGTATTCGTCGCTCTAAAATATCTCGAACGATATATGAAATGTTATGCGGCAATCGATTTTGGGATCGAAAGATTATTCTTAATTTCGTTACTAATAGCGGATAGATATGTAAACGATACCTTTTTTTCAATCAAAAGATGGGCCTTAAATACTGAACTTCCACCCGAGGAAATTAATCGAATGCAAGTGATGATCTTGAATAATCTAAATTATGATATTTACATTAATGGCAATGATTATTTGGAATGGATAAATCAATTATCTGAACACATCAAGGCTGAAGAAAAATTGTACACTGATCCACCAAAGTATTTAAAAACAATTATGGACGACATAGAAAATCAGAGATCTTTAATTTCGATGAAAATCAAAACTCAAGTCCATTTTATCAAATTGCCATCAGGAATAATTCACCGCTACACACCTGAAGTTCAATTGCCTTCGGGAATTGTTTACCGATACTCACCTGAATACAAATAATAACTGGTTGACTGGTATGAATTTGGAAATTAATCAGTGTACACCAATATAGCATTTAATATTTTATGTTTAATAATAAAGATTTAATAATATTAATCGTAAAAGGGCTAATATAAATTAATATCATTTTACCGTTATTTTTTGTAAATAAACAACAAGCAATGGATCTTTTACGATTACATTCAAATATTGTATTGATATATATTTGAATTATTTTGACAGTTTTCATTGTAATTTCTTTCAATAATTATACTTTAAGACATTATAATTTATTAATTTTATTATAGCCTTTGTTATTTAATTCTTATATCTGACTTATTAAGTCGTGATCCATGAAAGAACGACACTTTTGTTTATATTTTATATATGTAAGTCCAAATCTATAGCTGCTACAAAGAAAAAATATTTTTTTCGTCAAGTTGATTGTCTAACTCATCACATGAATGTGATACTAGTGCCGATCTCTCATATATTTTTTTATTTATTTAAATAATATTGAATTCTAATTATTATAATGAAAGTTTTCATGAATACTATATTAACTACCATATTATAATTTTATTAAATAATTACAAGTATAATTATAAGTTATTAATTTTTAAAAATTATCAAAATAATCAGCTTGAAGATAAACAATTAAAATCATTAATGCAAATTTCCATAATCTCCAAGTATCCAGACAAATTTTTGTGGATGAACTATTATGAATTATTGTATTTGTTGATGATGGTGGTGATCCTGGATCTTCAGGTTCAGGTTCACCCCTATTCGGATTGTCTTTTGTTTGAAAACTTTAATTAAAGAATTTAAAGAATTTATTAATTAGAATTAAATTAAAAAAAAAAAAAAAAAAATCAAATTTCAAATAGCAATAGCTTACCCAATAGAATACATTATTGCTATTAATCTTGGACTAATTAAAACACCAAATTTATTAATCAAAGATTCGGTTGATATTCCAGCTTCCGTGTTATACACCATTAAAAAGTCACTAGTATCTCTATATTTATTCGAACTAACATGAGATATCGTTGAACCTTGATTATAAGCAATACCTGTTTCTAAATAAGTTCCATTACTCACATCTTCATTTAAAGGAATAAATATCGTACTATCTTGTAATGTGAATTTCCTGTATAAATAAGGTGGAATATTTTTCCATTGTGGTGATTCTGTTAACTCCTCCAAAAATTCACTTTCACTTGAATAGGTTTTGGGAGGTGGTCCAATTTTATTAAATTCAGCAGTTATATTTGTAAATGAATTGATATCTATATTTTCTGGTTCTGAAGAATCCGCTAGGATATATACAAATTTATCAAAAATTGTTTCTACGAAACCTTCGAATACGTTCCCTGTAAACTCAGGATAGGGTGATATGGATTCTGATGACAATCCAACATCAGTTGCAAAACTATTACCAAAAAGTGAAAAAAATCCAAGTCCGTGAAATATTTCATGAAGAGAGATGATAAAAAAATTATATTGCAGTGCACTGATTGGTTCATCTCCGTTAAACCAAAATGGATATACTAAAAATATTAAAACTTATAATATTAATAATATTATTATTAATTAAACAAAAATCCGGAAAGTTAAACTTACAAGGATTAAATACCATTTCAATATCGTAGGGAAGAGTATCATTTAAAGTTAATTCAAATTGTTTGGCGAGAGCTTGAGGATACGCTCTAATTACACCATCTTCTGACTTTAACAGATATAATCTTGCCGGTGCTGTCGCACCTATAATTTTTATATTTATTATTAAATTTGTCAATAAATTTAAATTTTAATTAATTAAAAAAATCTTACCCAAATAATACGAATTATCAGCTAAAAATGTTGCATTTATAACGATTTGTTCTTTTAATATTAACAATGATGAAATGTTTTGACATGCATCATAAAGTGAATTTTTTGCTTTTTCACATAAATTCTCATCATTAATATTACAATTGAAATCAACTTTACACATATCATCATTTAAATCCCGCCTAGATTTGGATTTTAAATTTGAAGGTTTTCCGATATGACATGGTCTTATTATTATATTTGTTAAATTTAAAGGATTTGGAATATCTATACAATTTTGCGCTAAAGCAAATGAAAGAAATGAAATATCAAATAATATTATAATAAATTGAAAGAATAAAAAATTAAATTTCATTTTTACAATGACTTTTTGTATTCTTTTTGCACAGTATTTTTATATATATTCTGAAAATTAGTTACACAAATTCGAAAGTTTTTTTTGAACTTTTATAACCGCATTCTCGTTAGGTGCATGAATACTCTAAATTAGTCTAAGATTAAATGAACATTATTTTATGAATTTACTCTCTGTAAATGCTATATATACAGAAGATAATATGTTGCACATTTCCGGAAGTATTGTTCAAAATATAAATAATAATAAAGATAAGATATAAAAGGAAAAATCAGAGATTTAGTCGTCATTGACAATTACTTATGGTTATATCAAATATATCAAGATTAGATATTATAATATAAGCTTTCTTTTTTTAGATAAAAAAAAAAAAATAAAAAAAGAGAACGAATTATATATTTATATAAGATATATGTAGCTGCATCGCTGCCATCATATAATTCAATCAACATGAAAATGAAAGCATTCCAAGATTTAACTGCTAATAACTGTATATATATTCATAAAAACCATTCGATGATAAATATAGTATTTCTCGACGACAACGATTAATAACATAAGGTAACATAGCGTCAGTAATACAAAATATTTTTCAATCAAAGAGTCACGTACGAGGTATGATAAAATTAGAAACATTTGTTTTATAAATAAAGCATTTAGATAAGTTTTATTTGGTTCAAAAAAAATTTTTTTTTTTAAATATTAAAATTATTCGGATTAACAAAAAAAAAATAATTAATTAATAATAGATAATAATAATCAACATTTCGTTTTAAAACGCAGGAATTATAAAATGATGAAAACTTCATAATAAAAAAATGTATTTTTGAGATTATGATAATATCATCACAAATGTTAGCTTTAAATGTTTTAAATTCATTTTTATGGATAATTTGATCCTTGGGATATATCGAAATATAAAATATTTTCATGTACAGTATATTTAAAGAAAATTTTCGAACAAAAGATAAAAATTATGATAGTAATTCATTAAATTCATCAAAATATCTTCATACTTGAATTTAATTGTTTGATAAATAATTAATTTTATGTGAATAACACATTTCAACTAGCGACAAAAGATAAAAGTTAATTTCGAATCATAATTATTTTTATAATTATTTAAAATAATAATTATTTTATGTAAAGGTAATGCCATACCTTCAAGATTTATAAAATTAATTTCCGAAGAATTTTGATAAATAATATTGAAATTATATTCACATCAGATATTCTATAGATCATAACTTTTGATAAATGTCTACGTCGTGACAGATGATGGTGGTAATTCGGAATCTTTTTTTAAATCTTACAGCAAAATTAAATTGGACCTTCTGGAATAACAAGTTTATGATGAAAATGAATTTATGAATAAATTATTATCATCACCTCAATGGGAAGAAGTTGCTCGTTATGTATATAATAAAGTTAATAATAAAGTTCATAGTATAAAATTTATACCAAATAATTATTCAATTAATGATATGTTATTGGAGGAATATATAGATTATAATCCTAGTTCAAGTCTTTGTCATGTCAGTTACCATGATTTTGATAATGGCAGTGATTTTTTAGTAACTTATTTACACGATAATGGATTAACGACAAACGATTTTTTGACAAGAGGAGGAAATTATTGGGTGGTGTTATTGGACCGAGATTATTAGCTATTTTGAGTTCTTTGGGCGTGTAATAATTATTTTAATGATTATAATTAGTTTCACATTTTTTTAACTTTAATTTTAATTTTAAACTTGATTTTTAATTTTATTTTTAAACCTTTAACTTTTAATTTAAAATTTAAATTTAATAGTTATGGAACAGAATTAGGTATACGAATAGATTTTCCAATTATAATAGCAACAACAACAACTTCAACTTCAACATCAACTTCAACATCAATTAATTCATTATCATCTAATGGTTCCAGTAAAATAATTTTAAGAAGAATTTCAATGAATGGTAACTTGTTTTGATAAATACTTGAACTTTCTATATTTTAAAATAGGGTTAATAGAGTTATTAAATTAAATATTATTATTAATTATTATTATTATTAATTATTGATAGAATTATTCAAAACATAGACTCATTAGAACTGATAAAAACTAAACAATTAAATTACATCTTTACTCTGACAATAATAATAATAATAATAATAATAATAATGATAATAATAATATTATTATTAATAATAATTATAATAGTAATTATTAATATTATTGTTATTATTTGCATAGTCGCGTTGCAAAGTAACGCCCGATTTTCTGATGTAACAATACGCAATATTTTCACAAATAATTCCCCTTTTCTTTTTTTTTTTTTTGTGTTTTTTTCTCACTCATTTATCTGTGTAAATGTAATGTGATGATTTGTATGGTTAAAAATGACATTTAAAACTGGTGTTTCAACAGGATAATTGTCCAATCCATACTGCAAAAAAGACCGTAAAATGGGTTGAGACCAAAAAAATTAAAACGTTAGACTGGCCCGACCTTATCGCCATATAAAACATCTGAAAATTGTTAAAGGATAAAATCTAGAAAAAAAAATTTTTTTCCAAAACTATAGATGAGTTCAAGACTGCTTTTAATGAGGAGTGGGAAAGGTTGTGGACTCAATGCCACGAATAATTCCACGAAGAATAGAAACAGCATTGGATGCAAAGGGAGGGCCAACTAAGTATTAGTTAATTATAAAAAAAAATTTTATGTACATAATATAGAATCATGTACATATCGGAATTTTTATTTTAATAAAAAATCGGCGTTACTTTCCGACGCGACTGTACATAAAGCTTTCTGATATTAATATATTTCTATTAATATTATATGACATTGTGAAAAAATATTTATATTCCATTTTTTTTCTCATTTATATAACATACAGTATATACGGAATCAATCAACAATTCTATTTTTTTTAAAAAAATTATTAAAAATAAAAGTAATACATACTTAATACTATATAACTATTAGTAGAATTAGTATTTAATATTGTTTCCATTCTTCCACCTATTACATATAAGATATAATGGAATAATAAAATTTAGTATCTATTAATCTAAATAAGAATAAAAATATCAAATAATTTATAATTTGAATAATGTCTAATATTATAATAATAGAAAAAAACTAATTTTTTCTTGATACGTACTTCTATTGAAAAAATATCTTGTCAATATTTATTTTTTAACTATTCAATTCTTTTTCTTTTAATTCTTTTAATTTTTCTTAAAAAATTACTTATACACTTTATAATAGTTTAATTAAAACTTTAATAAATTTAAAAATGTAGATTTCTATGTTACATTTGTCGCTGTTACATAATGAGAACAATAAAAAAAGCAGGTATAATATAGATATAATAGATATAATAATGTCATTACCACAAATGAATAGAACGAATATAAAATTATTCTAGTAATTCCACAATTATGTAATTATGTATTTTAATTTCATAATTATTTACGGATTTCTCTAATAAGAGGTTTTAATAGAGGCAAAAGGTTTAGTAATTATAGTAATTATTGTATTGATATAATAAATAAAGAATAAAGACCAAGGTCTTTACTTTAGAATTATTTTTATCTTATATATATATATATATATATTCATGCACCATCAGCTTCTTCCTCTTCTGTTTCAGCACGTTCTTCTTCTACAGGTTGCGTATTAGAAGTGGCAGTATTAACTTTAGCTATAAAGCAATATGATAAATGTGATTAATATATTTATAACAATAATAACCTATAACGTATTTATATAATCGATGAATTACCTTTGCCTCTTTTACTTTCCTTTCCAGATTTTTTAGGCAACAATTCTTGATGAATGTTTGGTAAGACGCCACCTTCGGAAATTGTAACGTGACCAAGCAATTTATTTAATTCTTCATCGTTACGAATAGCTAATTGAATATGACGTGGAATAATTCTTGACTTTTTATTATCACGAGCAGCGTTTCCGGCCAACTCCAAGATTTCAGCAGTTAAATATTCAAGAACGGCAGCTAAATAAATAGGTGCTCCACTACCTATACGTAATCCAAATTGACCTTTACGAAGATGCCTATGAATTCTACCAACTGGAAATTGAAGGCCTGCCTATGTGTGTATATATATATTTTTTTCACGATTTCGATCTACGTATATATATATTTTTTCAATGTTTTATGAATTAACAAACAAATAAATACGTACTCTGATAGATCTAGAAACCGATTTAACACCGGAAGCCTTTCCTTTTCCTTGACCTTGTTTACTACTCATTTTTTAAAAATATATTTTCAAAAGAATTTTTTTGAAAAGAAATTTTTATTATTTTTTATTATTTTTTTTATTATTTTTTATTATTTTTTATTATTTTTTATTATTTTTTATGTTTTAGGAATACGATTAAATATTAATATATTTTATATATTTACAGATGACGAGAGTATATTTGTAATGATCATGCATTACTTATTAAAAAAATGACATTAAATTTTTGACTCATAGGTTACATCTTTAATTTTTTTAGATAATTATATGAATTATATTTAATTTTATGGAATATGAAAATACTTAAAATATTTAAAATGTACTTCGGATAATTAAAAGACGAAATTTTGTAACGTGGAAAATAAATTTCTCGTGTAAAGACGAAGATGTTTGCTAATTTACTTCAATTATCGTTAAATATTCTTAATTTATTGATGAAATTCTTTTATTTTTGTGTCATTTGTTAATAAATTTCTAGATGGCAAAAAACAATCATATGTAGATTATATTTGCCATCAAAAACATTATTTTGAAAACAATTATTAACTTTTAATAGTGAAACACATTTAATATTTCTAATTTTTGATTTTTTTTTTTTTGTTGAATAAATAAAAAAAACGAAAAATAATGAATAATGAATTGATATATTTTACACCTTTTTGATAATAAAAACAAAATATATAAAAAAATAATAATAATACAATTAAATACAATTAAATACAAGTGTATTTGGCTTTTTTTTTTTCATTTATAAATATCTATTCCTCGTTCCTTAAGTATTTCACGAGATTCTTCATGTTGATTAAGAGCTGCTAATCTTAAGTATTTCAAACCTAACCCTTCATCAACTGATTGAAATTTACCATTCAAATACATGATACCCAAATTATGTTGGGCTACAGTATTTCCACCATCAGCAGATTTAGTCAAGTATTCCATGAAAGATTCCGGATTAGCAAATGTAAATGCATAATATAATTGTGCTTCACTATCGCCATCATCTGCTGCTTCTTTTACTAATTGACTTGCTTTCCCGGAATCTTTTACTCCAGCATATCCTTTATTCAAATAATATCCTTGCCAATATTTTGCAGTTGTTTTACCTAATTCTGAATTAACCACAAAACATTCCCATGCATGCTTCTTATCTTCTTTCTTATGTGCTTTCAAACCTGCTTCAAAAGTCATATTACGAATATCCGTTTCTGAAATGATATCTTCTTCAGGTGTAAATAGTTTATTCTTGGATCCATCTAGATTTAAAGTTCCATCAGGAAAGAGTAATTGTTTTTCAAGAGTAGTATATTTATGTGCGAGTTTACACAGTTTTAGAAAAATAATTTGTAAGGGTGATCGAAGTTGTGATTCTTGTTGCCAAGCTAAAAATTGATATCGATATCATCAAATCAATGAGAAATATATATATATACACAAATTTTCCGTTAGTCATTAAATATAAATATAAATATAAAAATATATATATATATATGTACACAAATTTTATTCCATTAACAAACAATTAACAATTATGTTATAAAACATACCAGCTTTAATAACATTTTCAAGACCTTTTTGAATTTTTTGATTCGAAGGAGTTTCTTCTCCCCAACAAATCCTTTCTCTTCCACCTTTCATAACATATTCTTTTATTTGATCCGCTTCCATCTTTTCATAAGGAAGTTTTTCAAATGCAAGTTCCCATAATAACATTCCAAAACTAAATTTTATTAAATATATATATATATATAAATGAAAAGGAAATAAGAGAAAATTCTGCAAATATAAATAATTTATAGATATATATTGTGTGTATATATTTCTTACCTGAAAATTTCACATTTGAAAGTATAGCGAACTTGTTTTTTTTCAGTCTGCTTCATTTTTTCGGGAGCCATCCATCTCATAATTTCCATCGTATTATTCATTTTACATGTCACGTCTGCATCAAGGCGAGAATATTTAAAATTATAAATTTTAGGTACAAGATTTTTGGTAATCTAATAAATAATTTATTTAAATATCAGAAATAGTAGTTAATAATTAATAATAATAATAATTCAACTTATTAAAAAGAAATAAAGAAATAATTTTCGTATAAAATACCAAAATATTTTGACATCTAATGTCATGATGTAAAATTTCACATGAATGTAAAAAAGTTAAACCGCGACAAATGTCAAGAGCCAATTGAACTTTTGCGCACCATGCAATATCCTTAGATTGATATAATTCTCTAAGAGTACCAAACTCTGCCCACTCAAAAACCATAACTCGCTTTCCTTCAATTTTTGATAAACCAAAAAAATTAACAATATAAGGCGAATCTCTCAATTTCCCTAATATAGCGAGTTGAGTTCGGATTCTTAAAGGTTCATCTGCATTATCAGGAATTTCTTTAAATTTACAAGCGACTTCATTCGTTTTATAAATTCTCTTGACAACATGAGGTTCTTTTGTGCCTCTAATATCATCTGATTTTCCATGTGGAGGATCACTTAATTCTGTAGCATTTATTTCATTTGCCCTTATATTTCTATCAGGATTGCCTTTAGGATCATCTAATCGATCTTTGAGAATCTTTACTTCATGAAGTACTGTGTTAATAGCATTATTTTGATCAAGAATATTTCCCTCTATTTTTTCCAAAAACTGTTAAAAAAAAAATGTTAATGAATTTTGGATAATATTAAAATAATAATAATAATAATAATAATAATAATAATAATAATAATAATATATATATATATTGAATTACCTTTTGCATATTCACAATATCATCTTCAAGGCCTTCTTGATCAATTTTACGTTGTTCTTCATTATTTATAGACAAAGTGAAATGTAAATCATTCATTGAGCTTTCAAAATCACTAATAAGTTTCTCAAACTTTTCTTTTATATTCGTCGAAGTAAAAATTCTTTTATAACCCTGAAGAGAAGAAACATTTTTTATAAAATCTCTGATATTTTCCAAAACAGTAATAAATCTTAAGAATGTTTTATAGTTGTCTTTGTTTGTAGATCTTTTGTTACTTCTTCTTTTCAAAGTTTTAATATTGGCTTCCGCAGCATATACACGATGCATAAGTGAATCACAAATATTTGTATTATATTTTGCATTATCATAAATCTGATTGACTTCGTTAATTACAATGAAAGCTGAAGAAATAAGAGGTAAGAAATTTTGGGTGGCTTCACCAACAATACCAAGCATTTTCATGCCAGAAGAGGCATAGTCTCCCGTAGTTATTTTTACTTCACTATTCTCTTTTTTTGGGGGGGAAGACATTTTGAACAAATATTTTATTTAAAGAAATAAAATAAAAAATAAAAAAATTGTTTTTTAAAAATTTTCGACGACATTTATAAAATACTCTTTGATACGGCAATACGGAGTACAGGCCTCCATTTCTATTCTTTGTTCAAGTTAAACTCGTACAGAACTTGTTTCTCTTGACAATTTCTAAATTTTCCGATTGAACAGCCACGGATCACGATATGATATTAAATTACTTCTACGTTTACATACAAAAATTTTATATTATTCTATAAATTTCATAAAATATTATTTAATACTGGCATATTTTATGAAGCAAGATATTACGGAGAAATTGGTTTGTGCGTAATAAACTGTAAATGTAAATATTAAAAATACTTTGTTAGGTTTAAGTGAAGATCATAACTTCCTTCTGTTTGTTACACAGTGATAGAAATTTTAATCGTAAAATGGTATCTATTTTTTTTTTTCCAATTAACCGTTATGTCAAATTTGGCCTCAAAATACGAAGGTCCGAATCCAAGTATCGCGAGGTCTTTACTAAGCTTTCCCTTGAATCCTGAATATCTTTATAATCTTTTAACTGAATTTATTTCCTCACAAAATATTAATAATGTTGGTCAAGAATACTTGTTTGACTTTGGAGCTTCATTATTTTATACAATTCAACAAGTTACACACTTGAAACTTTCATCAAATGAAGTTAAAAAGAAAGAGAAAGCTGAATGGGTTAGGATATTTTTAAAGGTTTTTATTGAACAAGGTTTTATTGGGTTTATTATGTTAAGTGGTTTGTTGTAAGTTTTTAGGTATTTTATAAATAAAAATAAAATCATTTTACTGGTAAATTTAATTTCTTCCTGGTAAATTTAATTTATTGATTTATTTTAATTTATTTTTTAAATTAGAAAAGGATATCAAATAATAAAGTCCAATGAGAAACGATTTCCAATAGGTGAACTTATCACTGAAGTTGAGGATGCTTTTTTAACAAGTTTAGATTCTGTTATTAAAGAAAATCAAGATATAATTGTTCTAGATGAACAAAATAAAATGAGTAATTTATTATTATTTCCATATTTATTAATTCAAAATTTAGATATTTATTTTCTATATTAATTAAAATTTAATTCCAGATCCTAAAAAAGAAATTATTGCTTATATATGTGGACAAATCATTCCATCTATACCTTATGAACAATTGATAAAATTTAATTCAAAGGTATTAAAAGTTAAAATAAATAGTTCTACTTATTTATTTTTTCTTATATTTCTTTAAATTTTTATTCATAGGGAATTATTATGCAAATTTGTTCTTCAATAATATTTGAAAATCCACGGATATTTCAAAATGGAGTATTTATAAAGAATATTACTCAAGATATTTTAAATGATAATAACCAGAAATGGACTGTGAGTTTCCTTATTTTTGATTTTTCTTATATTCATAAATTGCATTTCTAATACTAATCAATTTCTAAATTATTTAAATTATTTAAATCTTATAGACTAATTCTAAATCTTATAAATCTCTACAAAATAAAACTAATGATTTCATTTTTAAGGAATTACCAAGGATTTCTTGGGGAATTAGTAAATTAGTTTTATTTGTTGACAAAAATGAGATAATAGATTTATTAAACTTGTGAGTTAATTATTTTTTTTTTTTTTATGTTTTGTTATTTATATAATGTTATTCATTTTTTTATTTATATTTCTTCAATAGGACTTATTCTTTTGCTATAGAGTTATTTAGATTATGGGAAGAATGTCCATTGAGTTTAGTAGAAAAAGAAGAATCATTAGGTAAAGGACATTTATTATTTTTTTTTTTAAATGAGAAATTATTATTATTACTATATTTTCTATATTTCAAAATATATATATATAATTTTGTTAACTTTTAATAAATAGATGAAGAAACCAAAAAAGCTACTCCTTTATTATGGTTAATTTTTAAAACTCTTTTGTTCTCTATAACAATGATATTTAAATCAATTGTGGATCAGTCATTGTTTCAACCAGAAATATGTGAAAAACAAGGTAAAAATTTAAATTGATTAAATTGATTAATAAATCTTTTTTTTTGTTTAATTTAAATATAAAATAATTTAATGCTTAGAACAATATTTAACAATATTTCATATATTTTATAGAAAGAGAGTTGATTATTTTAACATACTCTTATTTATACTTTATAACATCAAAATTTGCATTATATGGATTTTCTATGTATAAAAAAGTATTTTTTTCAGTTTTGGATAAGTCATTGGATGATGAAATAGAAGTAAATTCATTAATTGAGGTATGCAGACCTTTGGATGGAAACAATTCACCTTCCAATAAAAGTAGAATTACTTATTACTTACTTGTAATTGAGCAACTTATGAAATCAATAAATGATAATATGGTGGAACAAGAAATATTACCCTTTATTCATAAGTAAGATTTTTTTAAAAAAAATAAAATAAAAGTGTTATTTAATATGTAATTGGATATAACATTTATTATTGATTATTAATTTAAATTTTTGTAGATATATTAAAGATAATAAAGATTCTTTATTATTTGAATCTGTACATTCGGTAATATTCGCTATATTCTTCAACAAAAAACGTGTTTCAAAAGATTTGGCACCATTTTATTGTTCTTTATTACTGGAGGTGATTATAATTGTTATTTTATATATATATATATATATATTAAATTTTATTCCAATAAATTTCTAATATATGATTTTTTTTCTCCAGGGTTATCCCAACATCTTTTCCATCATCCAATTACGAACTGCGTATAGTGAAGTCATCAAATATACTTCAGAAACTGATGACGTCTTGTGTTGGTTATGTTTAGATAGATTAATTAAAAAAATTGAGAGTATTACTCCAGAATCCAAAGAATTAAATGATCATTCAAACCAATCTTTGAAATTTGAATCTACTTCATATAATTCAACTAATTTATCAGATTTATCATCTAGTCAAAGCGAAGATGATTCTACAAATAACATCACGTCCATTAATAATGATCCAGAAAGTATTCAAGCTGTAGCTTTATATCTTCGTAGAGGTCATCTTCTATTAACACTTATTGATCAAGTTCAATTCGTTAATTTAATAATTATAAAAACTTTATTAGAAAAAATTAAGGAATTTTTAGAGGCTGAACCAAATGGAATTGGTAAATTGGCATTAAAGAAAGTATTGTTTGATACTTTAAGTATGGGATTAGATTATACAAAGAAAGATGTATGTGTTAAATGGTGGTTATCAGAAGGATCAAAAATTACTGTGTCACAATAATTATAATTATGATAAATTATGTGTCTTATGTGTCACATGCAAATAATTTATATTTGAGAATTTTACAATTGTAATTATATAAACGAATTTTTTTTACGCTCATAAATAATGAAGCTTTAATGAAAATTCATAAGTTGGGAAAAAAAAAACCGAATTTTATAATTTTCTGTCATTAAAATATTTAATCTTTAACTAGCTAAATTTAGTTTTAAGTTCTAAAATAGGCATTTCCGATCATCATTTAAGATTTCAAGATTTAAGATTAACCTTTTCATTATTTTACTTTGTTGTAGATGTTTAATTATTTCTCTTTTGGTTTACATAACATTTAACTTTTATTCACTTTCATATATAAGCTTTAACAATGTCAAATTCATTTACTCTTCGGAACGATGCCTTTCAAACTGAAACTGATCCCGAATATTGTTATGTTATCGCTTTAATGAATGCAAAATTATCAAATCCTTATGATAACCAAATTTTTATTAATTTCTATGAAGCTTCTCTTAAATTAATTCTAAGGAGAACCAATAGAAGTCCCTCTCAACATTTATTATGTACTTCTGAATTGGAAGATATAGTTATCGAAATGATGCCATTATTTTCTCTTGATACTCCTGATTATCGTGTAGCCAGGTTTCGATGTATTTTTGAAAATCAATTAAAACATTGCTTTAATTGTGTGTTGACTTATCATAAAAAGATACGCTTTTTCATTCAGAGGTAAAATGGAATAAATGCTATATTTGTATTTGAATTTATTAATTAATTTTCGAATTTTTTGAATTTATTTTTATTGAATTAATTAATTTTAATTTAATTTAATTTAATTTTTATTTAGATGGAAACAAATTTATGATCCATCATCAGTTGATCTATATAGTAATCATTTGGAAGATGTTTATGCAACAAGAATTCGAAATGGTTTAGTGGAACTTAAAGCGAAACTTCTTAGAGCGAACACTTTAGATCCATCACAATTATTAGGGATCGTAAATTTGCAATTAAATACTGATAATTCAACAGCTCTTTTTGAAATTCTTGTTTATCCAAAAGCTCTTCAACATGGAACTGTTAACAAATTATTTGTTGAAATATTGTTAATACTTCTTCAACGCGAGAATTTACCCCGACCAACTAATAGATTTTTACCCGGCATATTCATTGCATCTTTACATGAAAATCTTGAAATTCAAAATTGGGCATGGTCAACTTTACAAAATATAGATTCTTCATTAAATTTTAATGAAATGATGGAAGGAGATTTTGAATCAGTTATTCATAGTGTTCTATCATTTATTGTGGAATTTTTTCGACAAACCGGAGCATTTTATACTCAATATCCTTTCACTAATAACCATGCATTAATCTGGAAAGGAATAGAGATGATGTTATCTAAGATGGAAGAAGATGTTATTGCTGAATACTTTATTACAAAACAACAAAGCATCATAATTGCATGTAATAATTATCTATCAAAACCTACCGAATTAGGATTCGTCGAGATGATTAATTGTTTGAATATAATTTTGGATAAACTCAAAGAAAAATTTTGGCGATTGATTTCCTCACAAATTACTTACTTTGTTCAGCGAATATTTGATGCATTTTTTTTTATAACTAAAGCTTCACCTATAACACCATTGTTTTGTCAATCGTTGATTTTATCTTTAAATACATTACGAAATTCATATCCAAAGAAACAGCCAACATTAATTGAACAAGGCGTAGGGGATGTTATACATGATGAATTTATATGGTTAACAATACTGAGAGAAAACGTTTCGACAGTTTGTGACATTTATTGTTTTATTGGGAAAATGGATTATGTGGACAGTCTCTCAAAATTAGATTATCAATTACGATTTTCTGTATGGAGAAATATTTTTAAATATGCATCAGAAAATATTTTAGATCATTTAGAACTTAGAAGTCATACAATTGTGTCTTTCATAGAATGTTTTAACAAGATTGCAATTATGGATGACGCTTCTGATTTAAATAATCGAGGAACAAATCAGAACAGTAATGTTGCTTTATTATCAGCCTTTAATCTTTCGATTTTAAATATTAAGTGTATTACTCTCAGATTTCTGGAGAAAATTCAAATGATGAACACACAAAAATTGAAGACTTTTTTACCTGTACATATCGCATCATTTTCAATAATTCATTTTTTGGCTTCTCCGGATTTAAATATTAGGGCATCAGGGTTATTATTTTTAAAGAAATTATATTTCAGTAATTCTTATTATGAGATGATCAAAGAAAACACAGAAGCTACTATTTTAGGTTTGATAAGTGTTACAACTAGTTTTATTCAATGGACTGACGTAGGATGCGATACTCTTAAATTGGCGAACAACATAAAAACATTATTATGTGAATTCATTCCACTCATATTCGGAGAAAAATGTATATTTAAAGATAAACCATATTTTCAAAATTTCAAGATTTTGACTATGCAATTTTGGGATATTCTATGGGTAAAATATTATAAAATATTTCAGTTATGTAAAAAGTGGGATCGTTTTGGCATAATAACAAGGAATCAAGAGATAAAAATTTTACTTTCCGAATATTTGAAAATAGCAACGATTACATTAATGTCACATGAAAATTATGCCTTAGAATTTTCTGATTCATTATATGATTTACAGATGCGTTATTTTTCATTATTGTGTGTTATATTAGATTCTAATGATAAAGACTTATTAAATATTGCTGCTCAAGAATCTACCAAAGTTTTAGAATTTCTGAGTACTCATAATATTATAATTGAAACAAAATTATACGTAAAATTGGAAAATTTCTTAATTATAGAAGAAAATAATGAATTAAATGAAAAAGGATTAAAAGAGTTTACACAAGCATTGAATAAACACACGCCAAAATTTCCTGGAATAAAATCATTTGAGTCATTTGAATTAATTAATGAGGAATTATTAGATCCAGATTGTGATGTTTCAAGATCTTTAGGAAATTTAGAAGAAATCAGTAACTTTAAAGAACAAAAAGAAAATGATATTTCCAAAGGATCCTCCATTGAAATACCAGTAGATTATGAACAATTTGAAAATAATTCATTGAAAACAGCTTTTCCAAATTACACAGAGATAGTACAATCATCATCTTTAAATCCATCTATGAATCTGCCAGATAAAGAAATTATGGAAGATAATCCTTCACCAAGTATTTTCGATAAAATTTTAGATTTTTCTAACAAGAAAATTGCAGAAAAACAAACCTTTGAATTAGAAAATTCAGCACAAGTTGAAAAAATTAATAATTCAAGTAAAGGTCGACAGAGAAATATTCCAAAAACTTTTCAAATATCAAACGAAAAAGCAATTTCTATATCTACCAAAAGTTTACCTAAGATTCAAGTGAATACTTCACAAAAACTGAACACAAATATGTCAAGAAATGAAAGAAAATATTCACCTATAATTATAAATTCCATTGAATTAGATAAACAAGTAATTAATATTGATAATACAAGAACCGAAACTATAGAGAAAACAACACAAAATAATAATAATAATAATAATAACGATGATAATTATAATAATAATTATAATAATAATAATAATAATTATAATAATAATAATAATAATAATAATAATAATAATAATAATAATAATAATAATAATAATAATAATAATAA